TTTAAAACTTCTTCCAGGTACACTTTAAATAAGGTTGGCGACAAACAACACCCTTGTTTCAGTCCTTTAGTAATTAAAAACCCCAACGATAACTCCCCATGCGATTTAACCCTAGAGAAAGCCCCACCATAAAATTCCTTAATAGCACTAATTAGTCCCCCACTAAAACCCCTTTTGTTCAAGGCTTCCCAAAGTTTCATCAATGGCACACTATCGTAAGCTTTCTGGAGATCCACAAACACTAGATGTAATTCCTGGCCAACTCCCTTCTTTTTCTCTATGACGTGGATGATGGTAAATAAGTGATCAATCGTTGACCGACCGGCTCTGAAACCTGCTTGCTCTTCCGCTTCATGTTCTTTCCACTCCTCTTCAATTTTTGCTTTCAAGATTTTTCCATACACTTTGCTCAGGGTACCTGCAACCGACAGTCCTCTATAGTTATCACACTCATCTTTTCTACCCTTCTTCTTGTATATAGGTGACACCCAAGACTCTTTCCATTCTGTCGGTACCTTTCCACCGTCCAAGCAATCTTGCATCAGGTATCTCAACCGTTGAAACAGCTTGCAGGTTCCACACTTGATCAACTCAGCAGGGATATTTCCCGGACCTGGAGCTTTATCGTTCTTCAGCTCTCGTACGGCCTTTACCACGTCCTCCATATGGATCTCCAAGTTATGATTATCGTTAGTATACTCCAAGCTTACGCCTCCATCTTGAAATTCAGGTCGCCTTTCTGTCAGTAAATTTTTAAAATACCCCTCCAGTTTATCAATGGATATCGGAGATATTAAGTCACGCTTCATGTCCCTTCGCAGCCCTTTCAGCAACTTCCAGCTCTCAGTGCTTTTCCTTCCTCCTATGTACGTGTCTATTTTGTTACAGCTCCTCTCCCAAGATTCGTTCTTTTTCTTGGTTATGAGCCTTCGTACCTGCGTCTGAGCTTTTTTATACGCCTCTTTGTCTTCTGTTTTTTTAGAGGAAAGGAACTGATGATATTTTTTCCGTTTCTCCTGAATCTCCTTCTCAATTTCTTCGTCCCACCAGTAAGGTTTTTCGCTAACTTTCCTATCATCAGCGACACCAAGAGCTTCCATTGCTGCCGAGTGAATGCAATCCTTCAGGAACTGATACTGCTGTTCGGTATCACCGTCCCTTGATTCGCCCAACTTCTCATCCAAGCGCTTTCCATATAAAGCCCTTACACTTGGATGCTGCAAGCTGTCAATGTTATAGTTTACAAGCTTGACACGATCTTTTTGTTGGTGAACTTCTTCCTGTGCTTGCCTGGTCTCCTGGCTCCCTTTCACTGGGAAAGCTATTTTTGCCCCGAGGAAATAATGATCACTGCCGCAGGAAAGACCTCTCCACACTCTAACTTGCTGAATCTTCATTCCCGTGTCTTGTCTGACAACCACATAATCAATGATTGATTTCAATCCGCGAGTAGACTGAACCCAAGTAAATTTATGGATATCCTTGTGTTGGTAGAACCCATTGAGCACCTTCATGTCCCTTTGCTCACATACGTCAATGATACGGGCTCCGTTATCATTTAGTGCCGCCTCTCCGAAAGGGCCGACGATCTTACTTTTAATTTGACGTCCTATTCTACCATTGAGATCTCCCAACACAATGATTTCCCTCCTGGATCCAATCTTACCAATTTCCTCGTTCAATTCTTCGAAAAATTGGTCCTTCACTGCGACAGTGGAATCATCGTTGACTCCATACACTCCCAAAATGGTGATTTTATGGCCAAACACTGTCATATTCATCTTTATCATTCGGGGGTTAACAGCTTCCCATGTAGTGATGCACTTCCGTAGGCTCTTGCGAATAAGAATTGCAACACCCTGTTGAGCTCGCTGATCTTTTTCCACGCCACTATAAAACAAATCGTATTCCTTTACACTTACAGAGCCTTGTCCTTTCTTCTTCGTTTCTGTTAATACCGTGACATCAAATCCGTGACTCCCTATCTCCGATACCACTTCCGTCATTTTCGTAGAAATTCCTTGTACGTTCCATGTTCCAAAAACCATCATCCGTTTACGTAATTTTTTCCGATAAATCCGTTTATTTCCATTTGTACCGAGGCAATTGTTATTGGGTCTTTTAACAGTATTCCTTTTTCCGAGTATCGGGGAGTTAGCCCGATGACTCAACCCCCAACCTGGAGGACCGGGGTTTGATTTCGGAGTTTCCTCTCCTAGACAGGTTGCTTCCACTACAGCTGAGAGCCCTGTCTGCCCTTCCAATGGGTGGTTCATACGCCTTGAAGCCGGTGACCATCTCCACTACCCCATGAGGCAGGGGTTACCAGCTGGGGTCCGCAGGATTGCTAAACCTGTGACATCAGTCCCCCATACGGGCTATTGCCAATTTTAACTTATGGAAATAATGCGGCTCCACAGAGAGTCAATTATAATCAACAACTTGAAGAGAAAAAAAAAAAAGTTAGAGGGGCAATTCCAGACAATGACATTATAGAAAATGAAAGAAAAGGATACTCCCATTGATGAGCTCAATATTCAAACTATCTCACAACTTAAATAGGACAGTGAAACAAAAGTATTAAAATAATTTTGCGATTAATGCAATAAAATTGCTATTTCCTAAACATGAATTATCAGTATGTTCGCACCAATTGGCCGGGAGATGCCCATTTTAAACGATCAATAAAATGAGCTTCATGTGGAAGAAGGGTGCATAATAGGCGATGTTGAAAATATTGTAACCTATGTCACTTTAATTATAATAAAATCAATAAGAGTAAACTCTTCGATCAGGGTGTAGGCAACACACACAGCACTTCGGCTCAATATAAATAATGGGTCGAAGCTATTCTAAACAAATTCTGAAAGCCAAAAAAGAAAACATTCCTTAGCATAGAAGTCACAAAATGAACTCCATTGAATTCCAGTGTAAAACTGAGGGAAGAAAGTTAGATGAATTGGAATACGACGTCACTACATTTGCCTGAGCCTAACACTCTCCCTTCTCAGCCTTGCACAGAAACTCATATGAGTTCATTTTGTGAAAGTCAATGCTAATTCTTGGATTGTTGGGCATCAGTTTCCCCCGCAGGACAGCGTGAGCCCAGCACCTTTCTACGATCCTGTTCTTTACAGTGTTCGGGCCCCATTTTTAGTGTTTTAACCTAATCACATTAAAATTTTTGCTAACTCTGCTAAGCGTGCCGTAAAGCACTGGAAAAAAACACATTGGAGTCTAGACTCTTAAAAACATCGACAAGAAAAAATACTCTTGATTCGGTCAGATTTAAGCTTAAATCAAGAACCAAGCCTCTTAATTTGAGCGGATTTCCTTTTGATTTAAGCTTGAATCTGATCGAATCAAGAGTCCTTTTTCTTGTCAATGTTTTCAAGAGTCTGGACTCTACATCCAATGTGTTTTTTTTCCAGAGAGGTAGGGAACCCATTCCACCGAATGGTCGATTAAGCATGCAGACATTGCAGTTCTGTTCGAGACGCAGCACTCATCCGAATCCACGGCACCCCGGCTAAGCATTAGCGCGGTTCAGACCTCCTAGGCTGTTTCAGTGCCTACACTGGTGTTGAAAACCTATCCCAATTCTCAACAAGAATGAGGCCCTCGTGTGGACGAGTCCTAGTAACATGAAAAGGAAATCCTCGTCGGCCTACATAGAATTGAATTTCCCTGCGTGCATTCAGGACACTTTCGTTATGAGGCGCGTCAGTGGCTTAGCGTGCTTTGCGATAAATCGATTCATCTAGAATTCAGGCTTATGGAAAAGGATCGTTGAACAGGGTGTTCGCGACGACTCCTAATAATCGATTCTTCACCACACCTTCAAATGGAGAGACATCGATGATCGATCTCACGCCTCGCCACGAGAGCGCGTGTGCGTCGATACGCGGTTTTGGGTCGGAGTCTCGGGAGGTGTTGTTCTGAAAGCTGACAACGAAGCGACTTGATTAATGCCTTCTCACCTCCTTTTTAACTATCGACCCTGGCAAGCACGCATGTTCGGCGGGTCTCTTCAATTGTGCTTTTTTTGAGGGGCCATTAAACTTACCCTATCACCTCGCCTACTTCTCCGAGTCGAACGTCCACCCCTTCCAAATATCGGCAGGTGTTAGTCTCACCCTGGCCGTGCTGTAGAAACAAGTGATCATATTCATACCGAGCCGATAAGTGTTCCGAGGGCATATGATAACAGAAATACGCGTGTAACGATTGTAATCGCTATTTTTTCGGAAAAAAGTGCAACCGAGGTACTCCCCGAGCGTCAGTTTAGCTTGGTCAATTATCAAAGACAGGCCTGCTGGTTAATTCTTAGATTCTACCTTCTCGGTAACGTCCGGTGGCGTTATTAGAAAAGTAAAAAACAATAAAAATAAAAGCACATAAATGTGACTCGAAACCGATATTTTATTCGTAAAAGCGATAAAAACTAATTACATTACGGACATTGGCTTGGATTGGTCTCCATTCCTGTAATGTACATGTATTTTAAAGTATTCGGTTTTAGGATACGGTGTGTAGGCACGAGGTCCGTTCGCCCGTTACTATCAAATATTTTGTTCGTAATTGCAGCTTTTATGTGATAGTGCGAGAAAGTGTACCCTTTAGGTTGTGCTAGTATGCCTCAAGATTACAAAATCATAAAGGAGCGTAATAATTCTTTATTAGAAGCGATAACGTAGCAAAATTAGAAGTCTGATTCGACGCTTAAAATAAATACATGTGTAGCAAGAGTAATTAACATTTATGGGAAAATAAAACAAAGCCCGGGATTTTTGATAAAATAAAATAAATTCATTGCGTGGTCTCATAATGAATGTTTAAGTTCATTTTAACCTTGTTGAATCTTGTTTGAAAGTGTTGATTAATTCCGTCGACAGCAATCTAGCGGACGAATTCGTCGTTCACTGAAATAGTAGTATTCTACCGTTGTTCAGAATCTGTAACATCGAGGAAAATTGGCGCCTTTGATAGTTGAGTGCAAAATGATACCTTGCATTTCGACGTTGAGCCTTCTGATTTTGGTGCTCCTGAAATCGAACACTTCACGCTGCAGCTTCACGCAGATAGTCAAGCCAGGCGAGAAACTGGAGTGGTGGCAAACGACTGTAATTTACCAGATTTTGCCATTTTCCTTCAAAGACTCTAACGGCGACGGGATTGGAGATTTTAATGGTATCCGTACATAAATACATACAATACAAAATACAATACATAATACTGTACACATATTTTCACGTTTTGCCATGGGGAAGAAGAGAAAGGGGGGAAAATGTGACAGAAGTACCAGTACCCGCTTGACTTGCAAAATGTACCTGGGATGGGTCAGTTAAGCTTCCTTCACTGTGTATTCCGTTACGTTGCTGGGGAAAAAACTTGTTGCATCAAGGTAGTGTCTCATGAAGGCGTGCACAATTTTAATTGCACTAACGCAAGTTTCTGTGCTGCATAGAAATTGTTCAGTTAGTCATAACTAAAATAATGCTCCAGAAATCAAGGGAAAAGAGTAGATCCCCTAAAATTGTGGTACTGCTCCATTTAATGGACGATATGGACATTTCCAATTAGTTATTCGTTGAAGAATACTCTTGCTGGCTAGTAGACTCACAACTGCGAGATCCCTACCAATTGTTTCTTGACCAGGAGCTTTAAGATTGGGGCCTCTTGAACAGATGTTTCTCACTGTAGGAGGAAGATTTTAGGTGGCAGAAAAACAAATACCACTGTGATACATCAACAGTCTTACCTTCCTATTAAAATGTATCGCGATTATAAAATTATCTACCTGTTTCAAGATTCTCTATCCTACAGCTTCAACTGCTGTTGTCATGCCATTTTTCTAGCAATAAAACCTTTCGTTGGAAGTATACATTTTCCTTAACACGAATCCACACAAACTTATCGCTCTAATCTCATTACTGTAGCTGTCAAAGTCATGTACTGAATTTATAGCATTCTGCCCTCCAATAGTATCTCATTGAAACCATAACGAACAAAGTTACTCTGGCAGAACAATTTGCCGAGTGTTAAACTTTCCTTTGTATCCTAACACAATTTATCACCCCAATCTTAGCAAACAAAAGCGTTTGTAATTGACCAATTCTTTTGCTGGATAAAGTATTCAGCACTTGAATTATATCCTATTTCAATTACCACAAATTAACTTTTTGTGGCTGGATAGTTGGTTCAGAATAAAGTTTTCTGGCCAAGAGATCCGCTTCAATCTTTGGTCAAAAATAAAAGCGTGTGTGATCATTCAAATCACACGTTGAATAAAGGATTCAATGCTAGTGCGTAGTAGTGTCTCATAAGGGCGTGTAAAATTTTAATTGCATTAACGCAAGTTTCTGTGCCGCATAGAAATTGTTCCGTTTGTCACAACTAAAATAATGCTCCACAAATCCGGGAAAAAGAGGTAATCCCCTAAAATTGTGGTACTACTCCATTTTGCTGGACGATATGGACATTTCCAATTGATTGTGGTGTTACCAAAATAGCTGGGTTAGTGACCTAATTCATTGGGGTACTACCACAATTTTAAGCTCCCTAATCAAATTGGGTAACAGGGGGAATTTTCTGTGAACTATCTGCACTCTCTAGTTTTCAAAAAAGAAGAAATTAAACATTGATAATCGATCTCACATTCCTGTTCTAAATCCTTAATTACTCAAATTATCATAAAAAAATAGCTAGTAGTTTTTATTAAGTAAAATAATTTGCCTTACAGCAAAATATCTTTATCTCTTAATATATTTAGGTGCTGTTTTATGTCAGCACTTAAATATTACTAACTATATTACTTTATGTATATATTATTCTACTTCTCCTTCTCTAAAAAAAAATATAATAAATAAATATATATTTAATAATATAAATATATAAATATATTATTAATAAATATATTATTCTACCTCTCCTTCTCTATGTGACCCCTACCTTTTTTTCCGCGTAAAGTAGAACGCTCTCTGAATGCAACAAGTATTTTCTGCGGCACGAGGAGGACTACGGAGGCAGTAATTTTTTTTGCTTCAAATACTTAGTAAATCCAGTGTGTTCTTGTCCGTGTCCAATCATTGTAAAGTGATCATACATTGGCGAAAAATATGAGTTTTTATATCCTGTTTTAACAATGATAGCAGCGTTCGAAAAAACTACTCATGACATAGCACCTCATCATGATGCAAACCTTAGTTCCCTCTGCCTCGTATTCATCAATCATAATTATGGACGAATTTTCTTAATGAGGCAAGCTGGAAGGAACTAAAAATAAGAATAATTGAAGAAATAATACATATTTAACGGACTTCGCAGATTTGAGCGTTGAGATGATAGTTGACATTTACAATGTGTGCAGTATATAATTATTGAGTGGTTTTACCAACGACGAGTAGTTTGAATTAGCTGCATGTTTAACATGGTATAGCCTCATGGAATATGGAATATAAAGGGCAACCGTATTCGGGTGATGTCTATTGTCCTTTTTATATGCTATCACACTTATCACTTCTTTTGTGCTTTAGCGTTTTCTTTTGTGCTTTAGCGTTATGTTATCATCAAAGCCTTTCCTTGTTCGTTTTTTGGTTAAAATCCAACCATAAAAAAATAAAGACCTCCTTGGCTCATTCATGTCTTCGCTCAATAGATGATCATCGTAAAATGAACACAAAATAGCATTTAAAAGAACTTCGGAAAAAAAGAAGCGTTCGAATTTTCTGGTAAAAGAGTTCACATTTTCTGTTTGCGTCGCAAGCAAAAAGGCTCCAAGTTATTGATCCGGTTGAAGTCACGAAGACCGATATATGTTCACAGGAATAACGAACAGTATGGACTACTTCACTGATACAGGGATAGGAACACTATGGCTGGCTCCGTTCTATAAGTCACCTATGCTGGACGCAGGTTACGATATAGTGGATCACGAGCAGGTCAACCCTCTATTCGGCAAAATGGCAGATTTTGATAAAATGGTGAAGAAAATTAAGGCTAAAGGTATGATATTAACCTAGTAAAAGTTACATGAAAAGGACCACTTGGAATTTTAGATTGGAAGCATTTCAAATCCACGTATTTAAAATATTCGATAGTTCCTTCAAGCTATTTCTAACATGAAAATTCACCAATAATTATCATCCAGGACGTATGGAATATCCTTGACATTGCAATACGTTTCGACCATTGCTTCATTCAATTAGATTGACAGGACTTCAAATATTAACTACCCTAAAAATATTTTGAATAAAGGTATTCCGAAGTTTTTTTTTTTGTTCTTGTTTTTTTTTGTTTAGACAAAATCGAGCTCATTTAGTACTCCCATTCATCCTACAAAGGTTGATATCGCGACCATGTTTTCATATGCTTTTGGCATCCAAAAGAAAATGATTCATTTCGTAGCGAAATTTTAGGAGACATACGACTAAAATTATTACATCTAGTAAAGCAAGGGTACAGGGGATACTTAAAAAACTAGAATAAAGGCTCTTAGATCCTGAGTCAGATTCAAAAATTTAACAATTGCCAACTTATTTTAATGGTCTTGAGCAAAAATACACTTGCTTCAATAGGATTTTAGCTTAAATCAAAAGGCGATCCACTTAAATAAAAAGTCTTGCCTCTCGATTCAAGCAAAAATCTGATTGAATCGAGAGTATTTTTTTTGGTCAAATGTTTTAAGGGTCTGAACTCTAGATCCAAGAAACTAGTTTCTTAGTGAAGGGGATCTTTCATCAAATAAACTTAACCTAATACAGGAGATGATAAAACATTTAAAGGGTGAAAATCATAGAATACCTTGCTGCAGGTTAAGCAAAGCGTTGCAGATGAAATCAGTTACTTGATATCATGACAGTAAAATCTCCTTCAAATATTTCGGAAGCAACACATCTTACACCAACCGAATACATTGTTAAGTAGTTGCACGAGGGTCAGCGGCCAATTCACTGATTAACAACTTATCATGTGCTGATACTTCCCCACCAAAGTTAAATGGTAAGACGTTTTTTTGCAAGAATGAACATGTTCCTCATTGAGGGTACACATGGAAAATACCCTCAAATGGAGCATTCTCATCTACTTCTTTTGCTATGAATAGTTATGGAATTTCATAGGACAAGAGGTTTAACCCATAGCTTGGCTCCGTTGTTCATTCTCATGAATAATTTACCCCATAAGCAGGAATGTAATGTTCCTGAAGCAGTGACGAAAAATTTATTGACAGGGATGTGACCCTGAAAGTGCCTTCAGCTTTCAATATTTATCGTTGATGCAGAAGAATATAGATAGAAATAAATTGTGATTAAAGATTTCAAACACACGATACGTAATCGAAGGGCTTATGAGAGGCTTTAATAAAAGTGCCCTGTCCCACAGGTCTTAACCTAATTGTTGACTTCGTTCCGAATCATACAAGTGACCAGCATGAATGGTTCAAGAAATCAGTGAGGAAGGAAAGCCCTTACGACGACTACTACATTTGGCGGGACGCTTCCAGCTGGAATGGCTCAGAACCTGTGCCTCCGAATAACTGGGTAATAAGACATCTTATAAAGAAAAAAAGAGAGGAATATGAAACGTAGGACAAATGCATGACCTACTTATGCAGGATAACATTGCGAGGACAAAGGAGGAGAATACGCTTGTATATTTCTCGCTCGTTTTGGACGGGACACAATTTCGATGCTATATAAAATACCTAGTGAATGTAGATCGCGAGGATACATGCTTTAGATCATCTACACAGATAAAAATTCCCGTGTTTGATGTAACTCTATGTAACTTCTTTTTGTGTTATGTCGACCCAAACCGTAGGGTGCTCTAAGACATCGGATCATGAAACAGGGTATCTAGTAAAACAGGGTATCTAGTGAAACAGGCTGGCCAAAAATCAGCACTTCTACAGTTCTTTTTCAGTACATTTCTAAGAAATTCAGGGCTTCTTCAAAAGACGAACTCAGTACTTTTTCGGTACCTCCACTTGATGAAATTCGAAAAGTTTCAAAATTTTGAATTTCTCGCTCAAATTGCGACAAAATGACAAGAATTTTATAAAAAATTCCGAACTTTCTCGCGAAATTTCCGCTATTTTCCAGTAATTCCGGACCGCCCTTAAGAAAGCAGTACTATTTCCGAACTTTCAAAGTATCCTGCCAAGCTCATGAGCTCTTGTTTCCCCACCCATCTTCAGAGGTCGCGACTTGCGTGTTGCCAGCGCGTTGGATTTCGATCCATGTTGGAGGTCGGCGACTAATTTTTAACGAAGTCGCAGATTTACATTTAAGATGATACCCGTTAGACTGCAACGCATTTTGAAGCGGAGAATTTATGTAGAGTTATGAACACTATATTATTACGTTTAACCCTTTATCCATCCACCATTTCCGTATTCTTAAGTATATGGACAGGATCTTCTGTATATTGACGTGAATTACTAAATACCAAAAACTTTAGTCACACAGTTCTTATTCATGAAGAATTTAAAGAAGAATAGGATTTTTTGTAGTATATGAACAGCATCCTTCAGTATATTGTATGATTTACTAATTGCCGAAACTTTAGTCACACTGTTCTTATTCATTAGGTAATGAAATTAAGTAGTAACTTTTTGTATTAATGCTAGGGATGATTCTAAATGTTTGTTTCAGATGTAAAGCGACTTATCTAGGAGAAGTGAAACTCCCAGCAATTACAATAATTGATCAGCCATCGGCTAACGACAGAACATATCACATTCATACGACTGATAATCAGAGGGGTGTGCATTTCGTAAACAAGCATAATCTAAAATCGATGTCGAGTGCCCCCTTGTGTTACTTCGTGTTCACTTCTTATGAGAACACAAAGTTTTAGTGATATTACTTATTCTTACTATGTATCAGGAAACTGGCTCCCTTAAAAAAGTACGACCTGTAACTAAGAGGTCACGTCACCTGGCTTTCAATGGGCCTGTTGCAAACTTTTGCTAGAGCAAAACTAAGAGTTGTTTCTTATAGATAATGCCTCAAAAATCACGATGAGCGCATCGGCAAACTCTGAAATGCACTCATAACTTCACAAACTGCGTAAGAAATTTGCGGTTTTTTGAGCTTCCCGCTTCAAAAACGATACTACGGCACAGGTGAACATTTTGTTAGAGGAGTCGTTCCATTGTCGGCAATAATCATCATAGCCGACGCCAATCCGCCAAAACACGTTTGATGGGACGAGATAACACCTGAACTGGATTAGACCAGATAACAATCGGTGTGTTAACGTTCATATTTTCCACGCCCGAATTGATTGACCTTGAACTCTCCTTGAATTACGCGCGTAACTGCGTGCAAGCGTCGGCCATGATGAATATCGCCGACGATGGAGCGACTCCTCTAACAAAATGTTCACCTATGCCGTAGTATCGTTTTTGAAGCGGGAAGCTTAAAAAACCGCAAATTTCTTACGCAGATTGTGAAGTTATGAGTGCATTTCAGACTTTGCCAATGCGCTCATCGTGATTTTTGAGGCATTATCTATAAGAAACAACTCTTATTTTTGCTCTAGCAAAAGTTTGCAACAGGCCCATTGTACCTATAGTATTTAGTATCAATCAGTGGCGTGGCGTGAATTGCGATATATCGATTGGTCTGCCATTTAAACCTATGGTAAAGAATCGATTATTAAGGTGTTCGTTTCGAACACCCTGTTTATCGATCCTTTTCCATAGGTTTAAATGGCATAACAATCGATATATCGCAATTCACGCCACGCCACTGGTATCAATGATGTTCAAAACAGAGAGCCCCCAAAAAGCGACGGATCGAGGTGCACAATGGAACAAAAAGTACTTTAAAATGGAGTTTTTAAGCGATTTCGGTGATTCTGAGGGGCTAGACACATCGAAAAACCTTAATAGAGTTTCGTCAATTTCAGGTGAATCAATATTCGAAGCCCAGCTGGACGTGGAACAAAGAGCGAAAGCAGTTTTATTACCATCAGTTTGCAGCTTTCAAGCCAGACTTGAATTACTGGAATCCGAAAGTTAGAAACAGAATGAAGGTAATCCTCTTCATTCATTTCATGTAATAAAACCAAAGGCGTTCATGATTCAGAGGAACATAAAGAAGGGGAGATCCTCTCTTTGCTTGGATAACTCACTGATATGACCGCTTGAAACTAGATCACTTACACACTTTCCTTACGGCATTGTTAATTAAAAACGGATATTATATTTATATAAATCACGCAGGAATACGAAGACTGATAATTTAAGAATTGTAAAGGGAAAAGATGAATTCCCTACAGAGGCAGACAAACCAATGCATGCTATTTGGCAAACTATTGCTGTCGCGGAAAAAAGATGAGTGTCGAGGAGCGAGGAGGCAACTGACTGAAAAATGTCGATGGGGCATCTACATGAGAACTGTGATTTACTCCTCAAGTCTGAATCTTCGGGATACATTTGTCCATTAATTAGCTTACCCCCTCAAAAAGTATACGACGGCAAAGTATAAAATATGCTGAAGATTGGTTACCCTCGTTTTAAAACTGCACGGGAAGCAAAAGAGAGCAATCTACCTCCGACTAGACATGGAAAGACGCGATACAACTATTCAAACTCCAGTGAAGGCACGAAGTGTCACATGAAAATGAAGGCGGGAGGGATAGCTCACTTCGCGCCGCAGTTCGTCCACAACTGCAGACTTTGAGTGCTGTGCAAGGTTCTTCAGTTTAGTGCCCATTTTTTGTTCATAACGTAATTTGTTTCCGGAGATTATTTTACCTTTACGCTTTTAATGTTGTGATAGTTCAACACTTTTACTTTTTTATGAATGAAAATTCAAGATAGAACAATGCCTGTCTGTCATATGTATATGCCGCAACAATCTTGAAACTTTGAATAAATACTCTATGCACCTTCGAATTATTAATGCGTGGCATGGAGTTATCCAGTACCATGTGCAGAAGAAGAGTGTCCTAGAGTTTCTCGAATCTCTATAATTTTAAAGTACATTTCAATACAGAACATTCTCAAACCCCTCAATTACCTCCTGATGATCTATTGGCACGTGAAGTTTGGAAAACTTGTTTGGCTTATGTCATCATCCATCATGTAGGTAGATAAACAGCCGAAGAAAGAGTGATGACCGTTGCTCCCATATAATTGTCCATACGACAGGAGGGTAAAAGCTTCCACCTGTCGCCAAGAGGCCAGTGGAGGATCTCTTGTCTCCGACCGAGGTGCTCATGATTTTTTAACCACTTTCCATAAAGCAAAACATTAACGTTTCAATGACAAACCCATTGATTAAATGATTAATATTGGTCAAGTTGGTTATTTGCGGCAATAGGAGGTTCTTCGATTCTGGCTGAACCGTGGGATTGATGGCGTGAAGATCGACTCGATGGCTCACCTGGCGGAGGACCCATACTTCCGGGACGAGCCCGTGATCCAGCCCAGGCTACCGCCCCACGATTATGGGCGATACAACCACACGCACACGCTCAATCACGACGAGAACTTCATCCTCGCGAGGGAGTTCCGGGCCGTTTTGGACGAATACAAGAAGCGAGATGGAAAAACAAGGTGATTACTCCAGATTCTTGATACTCATAGACAAACCTATGGACGAAGAGGAAAAACGTGAGGGGAAAACGCCGTATAAACCCTCAGGCGTTGCCAAACTTCATTTGGTAAATCACGTATTTTCGGGAAAACTGGTGAATATTTTTCTTCCAATTTTTCAGATAATATTGTTCGCAATTGTACCTAAAGTTCCTGGAAATTGCAAGGAAAATATTCGTAATTTTCCTCAAAAAATAAGCATTGTATCGAAGAAAATTTGACAACTCTCGAATGTTCCTACGCGTTCCTTCCCGTTGAATACGCGACGTTCTTCCTTGCCTCGGCAGTATTGGTGGAAGCGGGTGGTTAGAATGGACAAAGAAGGTGGATGATAGATTAACTAACCAGTGGCGTGGCGTGAATTGCGATGTATCGATTATCCTGTTATTTGAACCTATGGTAAAGAATCGATTATTAAGGTGTTCGCCGCGAACACCCTGTTTATCGATCCTTTTCCATAGGTTTAAAAGGCATGAAAATCGATATATCTCAAAGCACGCCACGCCACTGTAACTAACGCCAACCCAGAAACCGCTAGAGAGCACTAGATCGACGGGTTGTCACAGAATTTAGAAAATGAAATTCCTGACATTTCCGTGATTTCTCCTTCACATTCGGGTAAAATTGCCTAACAAAGATGGATACTATGGTTGACATAATAGATTTAATTTGAGATAGTTTACAAGCAAAAAACGCTGAATCCAAAACGTCGAACAGGAAATGAACCGAGTTCATCAGAGAGGAACCAACCCACATTTTCGAAAATGAGTTAAAAATGTTTTAGAGTTCCACTAACCGTATATCTCCTCCTGTCAAAAACTGGAAGTCGAAAAACGAAATTGGTTTGTGAAAAGAGGGGTTAAAGTTTATTTTCTACATTGAGGCTTTATGCAGGAATAAAACTTCAATCCCGTTTTTCTCAGTTTCAACGTAATGTGCGTTGGTTCATTTCTGATGAACTCGGTCCAAATAAAGGTGACTAGAAAACTTTTCTCCTGCATTTCCAGGTTTTCCCTGACAATGGAGATGTTGCATGAGTGAGGAATTTGCGATTTGACTGTTGATACATATGTCTAAGTTCGCGAGAAACACGATGGTGCCACTAGTTTTCAAGCTCTGAAATCAACTCCCAAGCTCAAAAAAAGCTCTCAATTTGATGCCAAAATGGAGGAAATATCTCACGCTATCCTGAGAGTCCACCTCTACATCAAGACAAACTCTCCATACAAAGATAGGGAGCAAATACAATATTGACAGGACTGCCACTTTACTTGGGGACTCCAACTGAAAACACGGCAACCCTGCTAATTTACTCCCTATCTTTGCATGGAGAGTTTGTCTTGATGTTGGACTCTCAGGATAGCGTGGGATATCCCCTCCATTTTGGCCTCAACTTGAGAGCTTCTTTTGAGCTTGGGAGTTAATTTTAGAGAAAACCAGAGGCACTATCGTGTTTCTCGCGAACCGCTGTACATGAGAATCAACAGTCAAATCGCAAATTCCTCACACATGCAACATCTCCATTCCCAGTATTCCCTGACAGTGGCGACCCTGAGTCCTGGGATTCAGTTACTTTTCAAATGTTGCTCGATTTTTTCAGACTGATGACCGTCGACGCGCGCGGACCGACCAATCTTCTCATGAAGTATTGCGGGAATGACTCAAACGTGGGCACACACTTCCCGATGAATTTCAACTTGCTAGACGTGGACCACCAATGGAAAGCGACGGATCTGGCTAAGGCGATTCGTGCAACGTGGGACAATCTACCACCCGGGTGTTGGCCGAACTGGATAGTGAGTATGCCCTGAGCGCACATTGAGTTCACATACAAATTCAGGGTGTGAGGAAATCATGTATATTATTTGGAATGACATCATTGTAGTAAAAAACGGACTTGTGCTAGACTTGAGCAAACTCTGAGAGCGGAAAAACCTGAATCTAGCCGAGTGCCGTCAGTGAATGGAAAGTTCCTTGAGCAAGTGGTTTAGTTGCGTAAAAAAAAAACCCGCAGATACTTAAAATACTTAAGTTTCGAGTCCGTCAAGAGCTCAGTATGCGCGTATATAGACCAAAAGTACAATAAATGACATTAGAAAAGCGAAGAAGACGTCATCATGGCTTCTCTTTATACTTCCTTTTCAAATCAGCGGGTTTTTGTACGGAGTCCAGCATGCTTTTCTTACTCCGTCATCAAAAGACGTATTTAATGACGTCATCTGTGTATCATTCGGGGTCAGTTTGTTGGTTATGTTGTGTTTTAAGTGTTTGTTATGTTCGACTGAAATTTTGGAGAAGAGATGATAAGTTTAATTTTTTTTTTAAAAACAACATTGTCAAAACTCGTTTAAAGCTATGTTTAAGGAATTGCGCAGGAATCGTTACTTGTCTATACTACTGATATCATAAATGAGAATCGATTGTTTGAGATATAATTTCGACGATTTGGAAGTTTTCAATTCCTCACTCTAGAGACCTTCCTCGGCACTTTTATTCAAAAAATTGCGAGTGATCTTCAGAAAATTTACATTTTATTAAAACGAACCGTGACGGAAGTCGTAGAAACCCGTGCTCGCTTCAGATTGGTGCCGGATAACATCATTCGATTCGGCACGGAACCGGAACGTTTTAAATTTAGGATAAGTTGAGCGATTTGAACTGCGAATTTCTCGGTTATTGAGTTACTTTTTCGCGCTTTCGATGTGCGCATCGTGCTTAACGCGTCATTAACCTTCACACTGGAAAAAAAACACATTGGATCTAAGACTCTTAAAAACATCTACGAGAAGAAAAACTCTTGATTCAATCAGATTTAAGCTTAAATCAAGAACCAAGCCTTTTAATTTGAGCGGATTTCCTTTTTATTTAAGCTTAGATCTGATTGAATCAAGAGTCCATTTTCTTGTCAATGTTTTCCAGAGTCTGGACTCTCGATCCAATGTGTGTTTTCTGGTTTCCAGTGCAGAAAAATACATATATTCGAAAGTCTGAATTTGTTCACATTTTCGTAACCCATTATTGATCTTGGCGTCTTGCTACATTCAGGTGAGCAGCCACGATCATCCGCGGTTTAACGACCGGGTGGGGTCGGAGATGGCTGACGCGTCCAACATGCTCACGCTCCTCCTGCCAGGGACGGCGATCACTTACTATGGAGATGAAATCGGTATGGAGGACTACAAGGCGCTTGGCAAGGAGGACCTAGCCATCATCGATAAGAAGGACTTCTTTCGCACGCCCTTCCAATGGGACGACTCGCATCAAGCAGGTAATAATGGGCCTCTTTCATTTTACAATATTGTAAAATGTTTTACATTTATTACATGGATCCTTGCACATGATGAAGATGTTCCTATCCAAGTGTTACTTCCGGGTTTCATATATGCTTAGAGGCCAGAGCGGACTTTTAATCGAATTGGATAGACAAATAAGACATAGAGAAAGTGGAGCAATCCTATTGGTGAAAGGGGTGGACCCTATAGACTAAGGGATGGACTAACTATCGGGTCTCCCGTGTGTTGTTGTTTACTTGTTTATTACTTAGTTTCTTTGTACATTGCAACCACCTGCTTCCACTGCTAGGATCCCTCCATATCCCTATTGCCTTATTTGTCTACCGACTTATCTACCAAAATCAACGGTCAGCCAGGGTTGAGACAAAGTTGCAAGTAAATTGAAGGTGTGTAGAACATCAAGGGATAAGGCTGTGAAAGCGCAAGGAAAGAAAATATTGAGTTTAATTGAGGACACAGGAACTGTAATTTTAAATCGAGGGTGTGAGGGAGATACGGAAAGGCACTTCACATACGTTGATACTACTGGCGCATCAGTAATAGATCTATGCGCTTGTGGATACTGAACTGTTACAGTCTGTCCAGAAATTTTTGGTGGAATGGAATCTTTCTCAGACCACTAGCCTATTGTCTTACAACTCAACAAAGCCGAAAGTAGAAACTTTACGGTTATTTAATCAGTGAACTTGTAAAACGTTATTTTCTTCCTCCCAATTCTATCAAGCGGATTCAAGTATATGCAGCGAAAAAGTTACAAAATAAGAGTAAACTATATCTTGGGAAAATCAGACAGAAACTAGAACGTCTGGTGATCGAATTCAGGAAAAATTATGGGTTTTTAGCACACCTGGGAAATCGGTTGATTAAAGTAAGCTATGTAGGCCTGTGTACCTACCGACACGAAGAGAGGTGCAAGACTTGCCCAATTTTCTGGAAAATCATTCTGGAGATTGAGGAAATTACAGGATTCAAAGACACTATCATGAGATAATACAGGAGAAAATCTACATTTACAACCAATGAGGTCGTAACTTCGATAACCATCCCAGAGCTCTTATTGTTTGCAAGTAGAACCGATAGAGTACCTCCCGGTGGTTTCGTGTTAAACCCGAAATTCTCTTGAATCATGACGATCCGACATTCAAGTACTTAAAAGGATATACTTGCATTATAACGATGCACGTTCCCGTCAAACATACTAGTGTAAAAACGAAGTTCCACCGACCGGAGTGGCCACGGCACCAAAACTTATGACCAAACTTAGAGATAAATTTCGCTACGATATTCACTACGTCATGTTGAAACAAGCCCTCGTTCACGGTTTGAAACTCGTTCGAATCAATCGGGCGCTCAAAATTCGTCAGGCTCCTTCATTGCAAACTACGAGACGATATACTTACGGCCGCGAGGGTAGAAAGAAGAAATCAGCTCTACCGTGATGCTATGATGTCAACCTCCCCTTACTCAACCAAGCCCTACGGTGCCTTGGCTAAGAACATAATAGCACAAGACCTTGTCAATTTCTTAGGGCAGGGGCAACCCAACTTCAGCTATCAATCATTTCAGTGGGATAGAACTGGTTTGAGCCCTCCAACTGTTGTGCCTGCCAACCAAAACTCTCCAGTGTGGAATGGTTTTCATCGTATCTTTGAACCTTGCACAGTACAGGTCTTTGACTAGATGTCGAGCATAACGTATGCTCCTGTACTTCAAGAAGTAGTTGCCGGTATCCAGGTGGTAGAGACAATCGCCAACACACCTTTTGACAACGTACTATTGTTCTTCGGGTTTGCTTTGGCGATGAAGTTGACCCACACTGCACCCCCCACAACTGCAACGCCCCTACCGGGTTTGAAGCGCCGCATGGGTATAAACTTTGAGCCAGGGCCATCCGGAGATGACCCGGTGTCAGTAAACAATCAGAGGGTGCCACATTTCAAGTTGAAGAAAAAAAATCCAAGTCGAGCTGTTCCGTGTGTTTGAGAAAAATGTGTCATGTTTTACCCATCAATCTCTTCAGAAAAATCTGGAGAATCGATTTCTGGAATATTGGACAGATATATTTTTCCTTGTTAACGAGATATTTTCGATGGAAAATGAGCCCCGTGTTATTTTCCATAAGGGCTCCAGAAAGTGGGCCCCGGGCGAATCAGTCAATCAGAGACGACTCGTCTAAAAGTAGGGGGTGCCCCTCGCTCCGCAATTCACGTCCGGGCTCTTGTTTTCTCTTTGGGTGAGCTACTATTCGTATTGAGAGTTGGCTGTCGGCTGTCGGACGTGCTAACATGATTACCGACTGGGCTAAGGAGATCAAGAATCGGACCACTGCCACATATTACTTGCATGCCAACTTCGGTCCTGACGACCCCTTACGCTGGAGAGATGAAGATCACGCGTACCTCGAGAGAGATCCCAAGTTCTATGACAAGATAAGAGCCCAGATTAACGTGATAATAAAAGCAACGCTTCCAGCTAGGATAAGCCAGGAGACCTACGAACAATTTCTGCTCAGGCGGAGTGAATGGGTAACCTCCGGCAGTAGCTCAGGGGAGAGAGTGGTATAGTGAATGGGAAGACTGTCATGGTTAACAAGAGGGGATGGGCCGAATCAATAGACGCACACGAGTACGCCAAATTGCTTTATACGGCTTCCCCAGGTGAAGCAGCCCTGCCATCAGAAAAACATGAGAACGGCAAAAAAACGTGCAATATATGGTGCGACGCCCCTGAATTACATGATAGCGACATACGCCACCAAAGGTCTTGAAGAATGTACCATCTGTACTCCGGCCTCGAGAAAGGATTGTCTGGCTCCATGGCATTCAACATAGAGCAACATCGTGCTCGCTTGACAGCAATTCCCGATGAGCACTTCATCAAGCTTGATTTCTCAGACTTTAATATACAACACACACTGGAGGTGCAAACCTTAATCCACGAAGTGTGTGCTAAGATAGTAGCCGAGCGCCACGCTCCAATCGACTGAATCACTGCCCATCGCTGGCTCGTTAAAGCAAAGTATAATATAGGGGTAAACTTCCCAGATCCTGATAAACCTGGCCAAACCGTACGAAAGAAAATCCTCCATGGCCTTTTCTCAGGAGTGAGAACGACCGATTATTGGTCGGCCTCCTGTGGTGTAGTGGTTGTAGCGCTGGCTCTACAATCAGGAGATCCCAGGTTCCAGTATTTCCAATTCACAATTATTATTTCCTTAGGCACACCTTGACATTCACAAGTTAAAACTGCTTCTATTGTAGGAGCTCTTCTTATTGGAAGTATTTTAACTAACTCACGCAGAGGACTTGATGATTTCAACCCCAAACGATCATTCAAAGTTAGGAGGAATGTTCCTACTTGTTTGAAGGGGGGGGGGGCTGTTCCTACGAGGCGAATCTTTTAATCACCCTGTAGCAAACAATGTAGGTAACTCATTTAGATAACACCTTAGGACTGATATGGGAACAGGGAAAATGCTGCTTCCTGGCATGGGAGCCCACCAGTCTAATCGCGCGCGTGATTGAGAAACATACATATAATTGTCGTCCCAAGCCTCAATATGAGTGATAGTAGAAGCCAGGAAATTTTCCAGAAAGCTAGGAGGCGCCTCAGGAAGGCGGTGGAAGTCATGTCAGTGGGGCTGGTCCACTCCCTCCGAAGGCGGAGGTTCGGCTCCGCTGAGGAGGAGGAAAGGTCGTTGGGGGCTGCGGTGACTGCCCTTAAAAATATCCAAGAAGAGTAAGTGAATTTAATTCCACAGTAGTGAAGCTATTTAGCTTGGGGCAAGGAAATGCTAACATCTCTCACATATAAAGTTTAATTAGATCAGTCAAAAATCTGGAGAGTGATAGTGACATAGGCAGGAGTCGCAGTCGGACTCGCTCCAGATCACGGTCGCGATACAGCTCGTCTAAACCATTCAAATCTGACAAAGGCGTGTTTTTCCATCATGAGAACTTTGGCAAAGAAGCCCGAAAATGCCAACAGCAGTGCAAGTTTTCACAAGCGACAACGGCAGCCGATAGTAACGGCTGTTGGCTGCCAAGCCAGGTCCAATCGCCTTTCCGTCAGGGACAAAACAAGTAATACCGTCCTCCTGATAGGCACAGGCTCCAACCTATGACGCTTCCCAAGACGTTTAGTACCCGGACAGATCAAATCAATCAACTACAAACTCAAGGCAGCCGATGAATCCTTCATTAAAACCTACGTATTCCTGCCTATGAACTTGGACCTAGGTTTACGACGCGCCTTCACCTAGCAGCTGGCGTTTCATCATCGCCGATGTTAACGTCCCTATTATCGACGCTGGCTTCTTGGCTGAATTCCACCTCCTCCCAGATTGCCGCAAAATGACGAAATGACAAGTTATGGGTGTGCTACCAGCTACAGTTTTGGGGCTTCGTAGAAATTGGGATGGCTTCGAGTCTCCGATTTCTTTCTCTTCGAGAAGTTTCTTACGGCGAGAATTCTCGCTACCCCGGAAAAAAACACATTGGATCTAGAGACTCTTAAAAATATCGACAAGAAAAAATACTCTTGATTCAATCAGATTTAAGCTTAAATCAAGAACCAAGCCTCTTAATTTGAGCGGATTTCGGTTTGATTTAAGCTTAAATCTGATTGAGTCAAGAGTACTTTTTCTTGTCAATATGTTTTCAAGAGTCTGAACTCTAGATCCAATGTGTTTCTTTTCCAGTGTAAAGTGAAGAGCGATTGATTATTTCCTTTCAGAGATGTGTAAGGAATATCCAAACTCGGACCGACTCCAATTAGGTCATTTATTTCGACAAGCCATGCCCCTTCGCTTTGGCGGATGACGATGCGATTCTTGTCGATTTCTGCAGTGATACCATAATCGGCGAAAATGGCGTCGATTTGAATGAGCCGTAAGTCTGGCATTTCGAGACGGAAAGAAGGTAACTTGTTACGCTTCATTAAAGCTTGGAGAGATGGTGATTGGCCGCCAAAAATTCAAGCTTTTAATCATACAAACTTAATTGTTACTTCACCGGGTAATTTTATTAAGTTATTGCGTTCCTCAAAATGTAATTGTGCAAAATCTGTAGCTACAGGTTAAGAGTTTCAGCGACTGAACCATGCCATTTACTTATTTTAGACAATGAAACTTGATTGTAGGATTTTCGACTGCAACAAAGACATGGCTGCCCGTGAATCCGAACTTTTGGAATGTGAACTTAGCGCGGGCGAAAAGAGACGACAACAGTCACTATAAGGTGTACAAGCGACTCGTTGAGACCAGACAGACACCGACTGGGCAATACGGAGATTTGCTCACTTACGTTCCCTCGGAATGGGTGTTTGCATTCACAAGGTAAATATACTGGTTTGACATTGATATTAATTACGTGCTATAGTTTGCATTCACAAAGTAAATATACTGGTTTGACACTGATATTAATTATGCGCTAGACCACATAACAGCAAGTCTTCATTTCATCTTCGAAAGGGACAGAAAAATACCAGAACCGTACACCGTACAGGGTAGCAAAATGTTTTGTTATTCATTCAGATGAATGACTTGCATGTCACACGGGTATGATGCAAGTAAAGCATGTTTCCAGATGATACAATTATACATTTAATTGAGGAGGATTCTGAAGAACTGGGGTATATAATATTGAAGGTACCAAGAAAATTCAATGAATGAATGAATGAAGGTAAATAAGCTTGCGTTAAGCATTAAGAAATCAAAATATGTATCTTTAAATCATGACCGTACGATGTTGTGCAATGCTAACGTTAGGGAGGGATCAGCTTGCAAGTTTTGGAGGGCTTTAGCAACTCATTTCCTGCAATTAATGCAGCAAAGCACAGCAGCTAATCATCGCCATCAACCCTATTCTCCTGAGCATTGGAACTGAAAGGCGAAAGGACTTTGAAGGTTTCATGCGTTCACTGAATGTGATTTGACACCGTCATTTACGTTACGAGGAAAAATAAATGTATTTAAAACACGATTTAAATAATTGATACTAACTGCAGAGACACCGAAAGAAAATTGAAACAGACAACGTATTGGTATTGGCCAGCGTATGTTAAAATTCAATATGCACTTGAAACTCTTATTGCGAAGGGAAAAAGTCCAGTCGCGCGAGATACGCCTTTACCGTCTGAAATGAGAATTGAATCAGTGAGAATACGAAAACACACCAACTAGATAACTCGAAAATGCAACATTTTCATTGAAGACAGTCGGTTTTTTAAAAAAGCATTGAAGTTAGCGCATCTGTTCCATTTTGGACCTTTAAAATGTCCTTTAGTACTTGTATTTTGGCACCAAAATCTCTGTCTTAGTTAAATTCTTCATCTACTGCGCAGTTTTGTGTATAGGTCTTGATTATTTTCATTTTATCGAGTTGGTGCGTTTCCGTTCTCACTGATTCAATTTCAATTGAATACTAAGTTCTAACGCACAAGCAAAATTACCAACGTGCGTCGATCTGCGACCTTAAATTAGAATTTAAATATACCGAAGAGAGTGAAGCCCAATTCACACTATCGAACTTTTCATCCGACATAATTGAGCGAAAAGTTGGATGGAAAGTTGGCCACAAACAAATTTGATTCAATTACCGTTGCAGTGTGATATCGTCATGAGCCTGCGGTTCGCGCAGATACAGCCTCGGCTCATGTCAGTCGGAAGATTTCGTTCCAACTTTTCGTCCAACGTTCCATCCAAATGGCGCCGCCAATTAGATAAAAAATTGAACGAAAAGTTGAATGTGACGTCACATCCAAATTTTCGTTCAATTTTCCATCAAATTGTCGTTTTCTTACATCAGTATCACACTATCCAACTTATCATTCGACAAGTTGCATCCAAGGGTTGGATGAGAAGTTTGATGGTGTGAATTGGCCTTCAGATTCATTTGTTCCGAAAGAATTTGAAATCGAGTAATTTCACGCAGAGTTCTTCACGGACAGCCGACATACTTAACGATGATCAACATGGGAACGGACTACGCATACGTGCAGCCTACAAAGATGATACCGAACACAACAGATACTCTGATCGTCCAATCTGCAAGTCTCAACTCCGGTTACAGCAATGGGTAAGTTCATAATCACGGATTGTAAAAAGTAAATGAAACGTGGACTAATCTTGAGACAGAAGTTGGAGGTGCATATAAGTACCTAAACTCGTGTAAGGAGTGACCGAGAATTACAGATAATCCAACACATTTTTTGCACACCGCTCCCGCCAAATCCGCGAAAATTTGAAGTCCGCGACAAGAGAGGAGCTTCTCTGCCAACGCTTCAGTCGTTCATCACTGACGAAAAATCAAAGAAGTTTTTGTAGAATAAAGGGCTTACCTCACCTCTCCACATAACCAGCTCGATCCAAGCAGGTCTGATACTGATTGTGAGACTAAGAGAACAGCTTTTGGATACCACGCGTGTAGAGGTCTTTCAACTGGCTGGGGATGAAAGTGTTGACGGCTTGTTTGACCTCTTCCGCTGATTCAAAATGAACTCCCCCAGTTCAGATTTCAGAAAAGGGAATAAATAGTGGTCTTTTTTGCCATTTATTACCGTATTTGTCGTCAGTGATGAACGACTGAAGCGTTGGCAGAGAGGCTCTTCTCTTGCCGCGGACTTCAAACTTCCGCGGATTTGGCGGGAGCGGTGTGCACCTCGGCGCGTTCAAACGGCTCGCGTTCGGCCGCTCATGGTCCGATTCTGTTGCAATTTGTTTTGTTGAACTCAGTATATCCTAAGAAAGATTTTGAGCCCAAGTTTTTGAAAATTGGTACATTCTTATTGATTTTAGAGAGGGGGGATACTTACTTATTGAACGCCCCTCGTACTAAACGTAGAAAGGACGGAAAAGGCTGAAATCCTCTTCTTCGATAGTTGAAATGGATGTTTTCTTGTTTTTTTTTCATAGAGTTTTTGATACAACTCGTTGTTTGTAAATGTACATTGTAAAAAATTATAATCTCGTGTTAATAGTGAAATTGTACACATTTTGCAGGGAAGTCATCCCGCTAATCCAACACGGGAAGCACCTGGACTTCATGATGCGCCCGAAGTCCTCGGTGGTCCTGATGACCAACGACGAGCAAGTGTCCATCACGCCGCCGGGCTACCGGCTCCCGGCCTCGACCAACGGGCCCATGTACCTCCCGCCGCCGCCCACCTACCTCCCGCCCTACCCCTCGGGCCCCGGCCCCGAGCGCCCCAAGGTGGACCCGGACAACTCCTTCGGGATGGGCCCGGGCGGCGTCCCTCCGGGGCCCGGCATGGGCCCCGGCTTCGGCTTCAACCCCGACTGGATGACCAACGACCGCATGAAGCCGCCCTTCATGCCGCCCGGCCGCCCGTCCCGCACCACCGTGTCCCCCGACTCAAAGCCCAAGAACGCCGCCTCCGCCGTCTCGCCCGCCGCTGCCGTTCTCGTCCAACTCATCAGCGCGTATTTCGCCTATTTTAAAGAACGATAAAATGGAGCTGAGGACAATACTAAACTCAATTTAAATTGATGAGGATTTTGTCGACCACTATTTGAGCCTCATTCTGTCGAAAGTAATTTTGAATTTTTTCTCGGACTAAATCCATGAGCCTCCTCTTTGATTAAACATCTTGCACAACATGCGAAGTCCTCTGAAGAGATAATTCTAATTGCTTTTGGAAAAATTCGCTTTCATGAGCCTTCAGAACTGCTTGGACTTATGCAAGGTTATTGTGACTAAATCCAAGAGCCTTCTCTTTGATTAAACATCTTGCACAACATGCAAAGTGCTCTGGAGAGATAATTCTAATTGCTTTAAGAAATATTCGCTTTAACGAGCCTGCAGAACTGCTTGGACTTATGCCAGGTTATTGTGACTAAATCCAAGAGCCTCCTCTTTGATAGAACATCTTGCAAGATATGCAAAAAGCTCTGAAGAGATAATTCTAATTGCTTTAAGAAAAATTCGCTGTAATGAGCCTGCAGGACTGCTTGGACTTAAGCAAGGTTATTGTGACTAAATCCAAGAGCCTCCTCTTTGATAGAACATCTTGCAAAATATGCAAAGTGCTCTGAAGAGATAATTCTAATTGCTTTTAGAAAAATTCGCTTTAATGAGCCTGCAGAACTGCTTGGCCTTGTGCAAGGTTAATGTAAAAGATATATTGGAAGAATTTCAAAAGAAGTCATACCAAAACTAGCAGATTTTTTGGGAATTTCGATTTCTCAACCTAGAGATGTTATTATTCAAGCAAATCTTCTTCTCCCATTTAGAGTTTTCTTCAAGACCGTGTAGGTTTTATTTCCGAACGTTTCGAAGTCGAAATGGAAAAACCGTCTGATCCTTTAATTCAGGCTCTATCATGGTCTCAGTATAAAGGAGGCAGCACTAAAATACCTTCTATCTGCGACACCCGATGTCATTGATTTCATTTCTGCGGGATTTGGAGGAGGAGCAGCAGATCAAGTTACAATGTGCAAGGTTAATGTAAAAGATGTATTGGAAGAATTTTAAAAGAAGTCATTCCAAAACTAGCAGATTTTTTGGGAATTTCGATTTCTCAACCTAGAGATGTTATTTTTCAAGCAAATCTTCCTCTCCCATTTAGAGCTTTCTTCAAGACCGTGTAGGTTTTATTTTCGAACGTTTCGAAGTCGAAATGGAAAAACCGTCTGATCCTTTAATTCAGGCTATATCATGGTCTCAGTATAAAGGAGGCAGCACTAAAATACCTTCTATCTGCGACACCCGATGTCTACATCGATTTCATTTCTGCGGGATTTGGAGGAGGAGCAACAGATCAAGTTACAGTAGAAAACTCAGGAGTGTTAGGTCACCGGAGGCCAGAGTATAGTAACCTGGAAATTTGAGGGGCTACAATTAGTGAAGCAGCTCAGCTCCATGATCGCATCGGAACTTCAGGGCTTTACAATTGTCATCCAGACTTCTGTTTGCGTCTTAAAAATGCGTGTCATTATCAACTTCAGAAACTTAGCTCATCCTAAGACTAGACTAGCAGCGGTGAGTCGAATAATCGAGTAATTTTTGGGGGTCATTCCCATACATTGTTGTGGAGGACGTCTGTGTAGGGGCCGCATGTAGGGTTTCAATCGCTGTAAGCAATGTTGATTCTTGAAAGTTGGCGGCATTCTTTATCCTCCATTTAAATGTATGTAAAATAGTCGACTCTTGGCGAGGACAGCTTGCCTCAACTAAAATCCGCGCGATATTTTCGATGAATTTAAATGGAGAGTTAAAGCCGTATTGCCAACTGGAAAAATTGCTACTGGCTGTAAAATAGAGTGTCATAGACGTGATATATTTTGAATATGTGTTTTAAGAGACAGTTTTAAAATTCGATTTTCTCATAAACTTGTGATTCCAATAAAATTCAAAGTGTGTAAATGGGTTTCAGAAGACATTAATTTTGTAAGTAACAGAAATTGATAGATATGAGGTGCGGTCTTTTCCGTCTACATTAAACCACTTCAAACTTTAGGAAAAGGTTGATCGCCGACGCCAAATAATACAGTGAGAACCACTCTAAGTAATAAGATATTCGAACAAGATAAGAAAAAGTACTTCCTTGTGATTGAGCGAGGCAATTAACATCAGTATAAGGACAAAGGACCGATGTGGTTCATAAACATATATCAAATTTTGAGGCAATGAACATGCTGCTGATGATTCAAAAGTCAGTGAGCCATTTATTTGTTTGCTCGTACAATTTACTTCGTATTGTTTCATATTCGGAATGTGTATGGATGTATAGATCTGCGTTAAGACGGTGAGACAAGTTGACCATTACGTTACCAACGGGTCTCATAATTGGACTGCATTTTGCAATTTGGAACTATAAATTCTGGTTCTTCTGGAAAAACACTTATGTGCATAGAGAAACCAATGCCACATACGTTGTTTTTAAACCGGGCTAGAATCTATAGTTCTAAATTGCAAAATGGAGTCCAATTTAGATTATAAGCATGGGTTAATTGTATGCATGTGTCGCACGACGAGTAAAATGTTCTTAAGATAAATATTATTCTTCGTTTAATAATTTTCTGAGAAATATTATTCTCTTTTAGTCTGTCAGTTTATAAATAAAACCAAAAAATAAATCTATCTTTCTTTAAAAATAATTGATGGGATTATTTCGTTCTAGCTCCTAAAGAACTTGACCGACGATGATACGTAAATTAAAAATGGAAAATAACCTCAATTTGTGTCAAACAGAACATTCGCAGATACAAGAAAGACTGGCAAACAACAATCAAAATCCTGTTTTAAAACAATTTCATCATTGACATATCTTATAGGTGGATAATAAATAATAAACGAATTTTTCTCATAAAGTTAAAACGAAATTTACTATGGAGAGTAGAACTATCGATCTTTATAAAAAAAAAGTCCATGGAAAGTTACCAGGTTACATTGAATGAAAAAGAAGTCTTCGAACCATAATAGCCCGTATAAAGAAAATGCAGCACTGGAAAAAAAGTAGCTTGGATCTAAAATCCAGTCTCTTAGAAGATTTCACAGGAAAAATACTCTTGATTCAATCGGATCTTCGCTTGAAACAACACCCATGCCTCTTAATTTAAGCAGATTTCCTTTCGGTTCAAGCGAAAATCCGATTAAATCGAGAGCATTTTTTCTAGACATTTAGAGAGCATCAGAGTCTGGGATGACGGTCCAAAAGACTTTTTTTTCCAGTGAGAGAAGAGGCTTTACAGGGTTGCCACAGAATTTGGAAAATGAAATTCCCTGACATTTCCCTGACGCATTTTAGTGAAATTCCCTGACAATTTAATATATGACAGGTGGTTAAGAAGACGTAATTGAAAAAATGGTTTTCGGACAAAATGTATTATTCGAAACCTCAAACCCATTCTAGAAAGCAAATTCAGGTAATTAAACAAATTTTCTTTGTCATTTTCGTCTAATTCCCTGACATTAGTTAATTTGTAGGTGTCTGAAATTTGATGAATTTAGTGTTTAAGTGTAAACTGCTGAGTGAAGTGAACACAAGGATACTCTTGGTTCATGAATTGAACAATTATCGGAGAAGATATGACAAAATGATCTAATCTGCTAAAATACATGCGTTTAAATGAGAAATGCCGCCAGATGACGTCAATATGAGGGGCATTTTCTCACTTTGAAATCTATTTTTGTACCATTTCCAATATCAGAAAAAAATTATAAAATATACTGTGAAATCAGCTCTTGAAGCACCAGATGAAGCAATAAAAAATGTGCATGCCAATTCTCCTTTCCCGATTTTCCCTGACTTTTTAAACTTCCCTGACATTTCCCGGTATTCCCGGAAGGACTCCGGCAGTTTTCACACTTCAATCACGGAGAAAACGTTAACGAGGCGAAGAGCTCATCCGGATCCGAGAAGAAGTCAGGGGCGGCGATTCGGACCGAATCATCGTAGGCCGAAATATTTTTCGCACCGGTCTGATCAGCCCGTTGGGCTTCCTGCCCTGCGTTGCTGCAGGGATGACTGGTCTCGTCCTTCCTCGTCAGCGAGGGCCCCGGGTTCACATCGAGTTGACTTTTCGGAGGAGGGCAGTCCTCGGCCATTGGCAGGAGGATGAAATACTGCGGTGAGGGCTGGAGCGGGCTCATCGCCTTCGATTGTGGGCTTACCCCGCTGCTGGCCTGTGAATCGCTGAGAGGCCGCGAACTGTTGCTCTGCCGGGGAAAAAACCGAACAGGTTAGTTGCTAGTAGTTAGTATTATAATAACCAAACAGCTTGTATGGTATGGTCATGCCCAACGAATGGTAGATGATAGGTTACCTAAGAAGGTACTAGCTCCTGGGAGAAGACGTAGGGGACGCCCAGCAGAATCGTGAATAGGTGGCATTCAAGATGAAATCACAAGATGCCATTTACCAGATGACCTCTGGATCGACAGGCAAGGATGGCGATTAGGTGTCGCAGAGCGTTAACTTTAGTTACTTGGGCGCATAGTGCGTTTAAGTTTCGTTTTTTGTTTGTTTGTTTGTTCATTATTTGGTTTAAACTGTTTTTTAAATTCTTTCCTTACATTCCAAATAAATAAAGTTATCTCGTTGTCAAACAGAAAGATCTATATTGTTTTACCTCCGTATAATTCGATCTCCTTTCTTAAACTGTTAACAGGAGGCATGAAAAATTACGTATTAAAAAAATGATGATTCATCTCCATTACACATTTTCAGGCTCAATTTAAGAAGTATTTAATTCAAATTTCCATAGGTAAACTCGGCATTGAACCTCCCATAGCTATAAATTCGAAAAAGACATGCTTGTGGAGAAAATCGACGCGATTCTTAGGTGTTGGCCTTAAAATTTGCAGTAAGTATTCCATCGAAAGAAATGTTCCTCCTTCAGCGATATTTTTAAAAGTGTCAAAAATTCTTCAACTCAAAAAATAAAGAATGCTAAACAGGTTAGCTGCAGCGGCGCACGGTGCGCATGACCTCAAAATTTTGGGGGGCCAAAAAGTTGCTACTTTAGATCGAGGAAGGTTCCCACGGTTTCAACTTTTTATCTCAATTAGGAAAAAAGTTACAGGGATGGTAGGTGACGTTTGGATAACCCTCTATATAATTCCTTGCAGGAAAGCACCACCAAGCATCTGGTAAAATGCAAGTTGTAATCTGAGTATGAGTGTTTAAAAAGCCGATTTCACACACTCCAATTTGCGTCGCAAGGTTTCTCGCGACAACGCCAGTTACAGTGTGTGAAATCGACTGAAGACGCGTGAATCCGCCGCGCAGGTCATATGAATCGCGGCGCTATACACTGAGAAAAAACTATGGCTTATAAACCTATTAGAGGTAAATATGGAACACCACTAATAGTAGTACCTCTACATATAATAATAGCACATATACCTTAGTTATGGTCTCTGTACCTTAATTAGGTACAGAGACCTTAGTATGGTTCACAGACCGAGAATCATTAGTTTATTTACGACTATTATAGGTGTTCCATATTTACCACTAATAGGTTTATAAACCATAGCTTTTTCTCAGTGTACAGCGCAAACGCCATTTTTACGGCGATTTTATTGGCGATAAAATCGCTAAGATCATCAACATTGGAGCGATTATCCTCGATTGTATCGGCGATATGGAATCGCTAGGATCATCAACTTCTGAGAGATTATCCTCTATCATATCGCGATAAAATCGCAATTTTTTCGGGCGATAAAATCTCGATTTTATAGCAAAAAGATCGAGGATAATCGGATCTTCTGGAATTTCTCCGTTACACTGGAAAAAAAGAATCTTAAATTTGCCGCCAAGAATTATTTCTTCTTAAATCAAGAATTTTGCTGGTTAAGCTACTTTTTTGCTTAACCCAAGCATTATTTTTCTTGAATCAAGAAAAAGTCAGCTTAAAGCAAGATAAAGAAAATTCTTGGCGGCAAATTCAAGAATTATCATGCTTGATCCAAGCTACTTTTTTTTGAGTGTAGGGGGAAATAGAACGTCAACGTCTTCACCAAGTTCAACAGGAAACAGCCCAATTTCACAGAAACAACCATCAGGATCCTTTGGAATTTCTCCGTTAGGGGGAGATAATCGTAAAAGAATCGCAATTTAATTTCGAAAAATCGCGATTTTTTCGTTTAAAAATGCTGTTTAAGGAACTTGGAAGAACTCCTTGTCGTAGAGTGAGAATACGCACCTCTGGAGCAGGATTTCGGACGGAAAGTTTTTGCTTAATGGAAGACAACAAACTGGTAGATTTCTTTTCAGTATCACAGAGTACAATTTGACCAGGCGGAGAAACAGGGCATTTGTGAGACTTTTCGCTGCCCTGAAAGCACACAAGCAGACGAAAACAATTGTTGCGATCTAATCCCACCTTTTCGCTTGAGTTTACTGAAAAAAAACTTAAGGGTGATAAGAACTCAAATTTCTGTCTGATTAAATGTTTGTGTCTTAATGAGAGTTTTTCATATTTTCCTAGGACTGAGTATTATATTAGAAGCCTACCTAGAGAAAGATATTCATGGCACTTTAACGAATTGCTACATTTTCTTATTTTAAGGTTTTTTAGGTACATTTTACTTCGAACAATTCCGAAAGCGGCGAGTATAATATACGAGTGTTGGTGATTTAGCCAGCGTACATCAAAATTCAGTATCAAACTGAACTTTTCAATTTGAAAGGAAAAAGCCCACCTGAGCACCAGTGTAGGATGCGAAAGCTATTTGCATCAGTTTCCGGGTGCAAACGACGCATCTCCTGGTTTTCGCTTATCGCATGCTGGGCGAGGCCTGGTTCACCTCTTAAAGGTGCCCCTGAACTCAATCGCGGTATTTTTGAGGTCAAGATGAGACCCTTCTATCCCTCAAATTTGTTTCAATGAAAAACTTTGTTTTTCTAACTAAGCATGGTTCTTCAAAATATGTTATATGCTTTTCAAGTTTTCAAAGAATCCGTCGGAGAATGAAGCGATGCCGGACAGGGATGAGCGTTGGGTACCATTGAATTTTTAGGCACCAGAAATTGATGGTAACAAGTATGGACTCGGTTGAAAATACGAACCTTGTACCGGAACTTCTTGTGGCAGGCTGTGCAAGCGTAAGGCATGGCACCTGTGTGGATGCGACTGTGAACTAGACATGAGATCCTTTGCCGAAAACTTTTGCCTGAAAAGACAGAGTCAAATTTGATTCTGAATCGACGAGAAGTCATAAGCCAAAGCTCTCATAGAGTTGACATTTTACACTGCCAGCCGGCAGAAACAACTGACAAAAGAGGAGATATTGAGTCTACAGGAGTCATGAGCCAAGGCTCCCGTGGATTTGACAACTTACACTGCCAGTCTGTAGAAACAACTGACAGAGGTAAAAAGCCACATTCAATTATTCAAGTCTATTGCACACGACAAATGCAGCCAATTAATTGATGCCACAATACCCAGTCCTAAACTGAGGGGGTTTTTCGGCTGAAAAAACTTAATTTCTTTCTTTTAATATCACAGCACGCTACTACAAACTATCTATGAAAGTGAGGAATAAGTACTATCGGAAGTTTATATTGCATCAATCGAAGAAATCGTGCTGAATGCAGACCTGAAAATTTCCTTGACACATTAATGGACGTTGAAGTCCGTTTCCTCAGTTATCATCTATTAAAATTCGCCCCGACACGCACAGGCTGTTTGTAATTTTCGAAATTTTTCGAATATTTCGAAATAAAAACCGAAAATTTTCGGTTTTATCGAAACTTTTTTTATATTTTCTGGTACCTTCCTTCGACTGAAAATGGCTCAGTTTTGAGCCAAAAAGACGCAGTTTTATTGGGTATTTTTAGCCGCCGCCCCCCCCCCCCACTGGAAAGAAACACATTGGATCTAGAGTCCAGACTCTTAAAAACATCGACAAGAGAAAATACTCCTGATTCAATCAGATTTAAGCTTAAATCAAGAACCAAGACTCTTAATTTGAGCGGATTTCCTTTAGATTTAAAAGCTTAAATCTGATAAAATCAAGAGTCCTTTTCCTTGTCAATGTTTTCAAGAGTCTGGACTCTAGATCTAATGTGTTTTTTTTTTCCAGTGCCCCCTTTGTTTTCCCATGTTACAGGCTGCTGTGTAAAAAAATTGGTATGAGGGATGTAATAAAATATGGATGTTCTCACCACATGTCTCACAGGAGTAGGGCTTTTCGCCTGTGTGAATGCGCTCGTGGTTGTGGAGAGTTGACAATTCCTTAAAGGTGCGGCCACAAGTAGTGCACGGATACGGTTTCTCGTCGGAATGATATAAAATATGCTTGCGGTAAGATTGTTGGAATGTAAACGACCTGTTGCAGAGTTCACAGAAGTATCGTTGGTCGCCTGCAATTATCAATATGCAACGTATTAATGTAGACTGTAATGCATACATTCGTACTTCTTAATCGTATGCATTTCAGGTAAATTAGTACGACAAGGAGGAGATTGATTTGAAATGTCTTCGACAAGAAGCTATATACTTGAATAGACGAAATTACTGAAACTTTGGTTGTAAAAATGAAAGCATTATACTCACGAGCATTTTAACAGTTGTTTTCCATTGCCCGAACACGGTGCCCCTGAACTGACTTTAAATGCGACTTTAATGTACATCAAAAATTGAGGTTGGAGGTTGTAGTGGGGTACTCCCTGATGGGTTTTTGGGCAATTTCGAAATAGGTTGTCGGAGCTCCTGGAAAAATAATCGCATTTTTGTGGTTTTTTAGGGGTAAAATAGGAAAATTGGCCTCGGGGCGACAAATTAAACGCCCTCTCCCTCATCNAAAAAAAAAAAAAAAAAAAAAAAAAAAAAAAAAAAAAAAAAAACAAACTACTCTGTCCAAACCGGACGTAAATCGGACAATTTTTCAGCGATTGGCAGAGGTTGAAACATTTTTTCCATGCTCTTTTCAAAAATTCCCTACGCTCAATGGAATTGCCATATCAAACCAAACTCTCCACCTAAAAATATCTTTAACATTGCACTTTCAATTAAAAAAAGAAAATGAAAGGAAAACCCCCAAAAACCCCAAAAACAAAACAAAACGAAAAAGAAAAAAAAAACTGCTGTACTCGAAGACTGGAACACGCGGAGCCCTTTCTTGCGATATTGAAATGCGTTTGACCGAACATATCCGAGGGGCGCTCATCGGGAGGGAGCAGTAAGTGTTTGACACGAATTATTATTTTTGTTTCTGAAGCATAAGAAACCATGTCCATGAAGAAACACAAATGAATTACCTTTTTTTAGGTGAGTTTCAATTATTTGAGCTGGACCTCGATGCTTCTGAGGACGTTACTTTTCCGCGATGCGTGGCAATTTTCCGAAGTTTATTTTGGATGACCCACACTGAGAAAAAACTATGGCTTATAAACCTATTAGAGGTAAATATGGAACACCACTAATAGTAGTACCTCTACATATAATAATAGCACATATACCTTAGTTATGGTCTCTGTACCTTAATTAGGTACAGAGACCTTAGTATGGTTCACAGACCGAGAATCAGTAGTTTATTTACGACTATTATAGGTGTTCCATATTTACCACTAATAGGTTTATAAACCATAGCTTTTTCTCAGTGCACGAAGAATGAATGGAAAGTTTTCTTTCCCACACAACTTGGCATAACTTGGGTATAACACGTGACGATAAGATACGCTAAACTGGCGACTTACCTCTGATTTGCTGCACGGGCATAATCATTATCAGTAGTTCATCACATCAGTTATCAGACAATCAGGTGCATCTTTTCTTCTGATCTTCATAGGAAGATGAATTTGAGAATGACACATCTTGAATCGGCTTCAGTTTCGCGTTTCTTGACACCAGAAAATGCTACCGTCCTGTTTTCAGTTTTCTTCGGGTTGAATCGTGGTCACAATTGACTTTCCCTGTACTAATTCTCCGAAATGCTCAGCAGTAGTTTGCAAGTTTTTTCTTTTACTGACGTAATATTATTTCGCGTGATTTAGTTCCTTTTGTGCCTAGTTTTTGCTTTAATTAGTGCAGTATACACTCTAGTGAAACGAACCGACATCTTAACTCGGTATTTGGAAGGTGGAAGAAATGCTCGAGCAGCTGCTGCCGCATTTAACCAAGCTAATCCTGGTAAAAATGTTCGTCATACGTACGTGTTAGAGCTTTTCTCGAAGTTTCCTCAGACTGGTAGTGTTGGACGAAAGCCTGAGTCGGGGCCGCAACCTCGTGAGGAGTTGACGGACTTGGTGATACTTGGAGAGCGAACCTTGAGTCCAAGACGCAGTCTACTTCTCGCGCTACGATCCACCGCATTTTCAAAAAGTGCAAAATCAAGCCGTACAAATGCGAATCCTTCATGAACTTGGTGACGGGGACCCGGACCAGAGGCTGCAGTTTAGCGGGCACATGACAGCATGGCTCAGTGAAGATCCTAACATCTTGGACAAAATTTGTTGGTCAGACGAAAGCTGTTTTTTTTTTTTTGGACGGCCGAGTCAACACCCAAAACACTCAATATTGGGGTGAAACCAATCCCCACGAATTTAGAGAAGGCGAATCACAGTGGCCCCAGAAGATAAAAGCTTAGGCCGGGATCTTCAGAGGACAAATTGTTGGACCAATCTTTTACGAAGACAATTTGAATGGTCTAAATTACCTACAGCAACTGGAGGAAATGATTTTCCCTGGTTTACAAGCAATTTGTGAAAATCCCGACGATCCACTGCCATTCAATCAGATGTTTTTCCAACAGGACGGAGCACCACCGCACTATGCACTCGCGGTGCGGAATTTTTTGAACGTTGCTTTCGTCGGACATTGAATTGGGCGCCGAGGCGCCATTGAATGGCCACCGAGGTCCCCAGATCTCACTTCAATGGACTTTTTCCTTTGGGGACATTTCAAATCAGTTGTGTGTAAAACCAAACCCTTGAACATGGAGGACTTGAAAAATCGGATCACCGCAGGATGCCACGCTGACCGCTCAACAGCTGAAACATGTCACAGAGGAAACGAAGGATCGATTCTTCTTTTTCGGTTTTAAGTGGTTTTTTCCTTTCCTTTTCTTTTTTTAATTGAAAAAGCAATGTTTAAGAATTTTTTTCGGCGGAGAGTTTGGTTTGATACGGCAATTCCATTGAGCGTGGGGAATTTTTGAAAAGAGCATGACAAAAATGTTTCAACCTATGCCAATCGCTGGAAAATTGTCCGATTTAAATCCGGTTGGGCCAGGGTGGCTTGTTTTTTGGCGTAAAATTGATTTCTGAAATCAAAAAGTAGGGGTGCCTTTTGAAAATATCGATTTTAATTTCTTTTATCGTTTTCCTAAATTCCGACGCGTTCGGCAGATATTCAAGGTGGCTCCTTTTTCGTGAGACACCCTGTATATATTCTACAGGCGGCTTCGACTCTAATTCGTTAGTAAATTTCTTCAACGCATGAATGTCCTTCTTCCGAAAATTATGACTAAAGAGGATAGTGTCTCAAATCCTTCCCAGCACGCGCACAATTATTAGCAAACCTACTCCAGAGCAGAGAGGGGGACCTAGAAAGGAGGAAGAGACACTCCTTTATTTGGGTGCAACTTAAGAAAGTTGCACCTATTGAGCGATGCATTCCGGAATTTATTTCAGTCTTCGTTAATTGAATTTAAATATTTTACCGGGGGATCTTTTTTTCGGGGATTTTTTCTTCAGGAGATCGATAAAAGTTCACTTTTATAAAAGCGACGACTGCGATTCATAAAAAGAGACTCACCGGTATGTAAACGCTTGTGTTTCTTTAAAAAGTACTTGGTGGTAAAACTTTTTGAGCAAACATCGCACTCCCATTGTTTACTCTCATGAGTTTTATAGTGTTGAGATAGGAACTGCTCCTGTAACGAATCAAACAAAAAATATTCCGTATCATTAAAAAAAAAAAAAAAAAAAAAAAAAAAAAAAAAAAAACAACAACAACAGCAAACCGGTATGAGTAGGTTACAAAAGTTGAAACAATTAGCGATCACCAGAAGAAAAAAAGCACATGCTGCCATTCGATCTACTTCGAACGGGTGGACGGATGAGGATAATAAGACAGTTGACAGGATCAATTTCTACAATTTACTAAATGTTTTGCATGAAACTGGTTATTCTGAAGAAACTGATCGAGATGTAGCTGCAGAGGCAAGAGACCCTCTTGACAAGTGGTCTTTATACGAGACGATTCCAACGGCTTTCTTATCCCTCTAGGTTTATTCCAACGGACGTCTGTTTCCAAGTATTTTCAGACTATAAAGGCTTGGAATCAAATCGACAACTTGAAAGAGAAATTGGAATTTAATATCAGATGAAAGCAATTATTTGGACTACATTTTGGAATTTGGAATTATTAATTCTAGCCCGGTTTAAAAACAAAGTATGTGCCATTAGTTTTCCTAAGCACATAAGTGTATTTTCAGATGAGCCAGAATTTATGGTTTCGAATTGCAAAATGCAGTCCATTTTTCACTTGACAGAGCGTGTCTCCATTTTCATAGATAAGATGTTAGAAAAGACAGAGAATTTAGATAGTGTTTTCCTCGAACACAAGTTCTCTGAAAAACGTAAAAAAATTGGGGGACTCTGAGAAAAAGCTTCTAATTCATCAACAACGTTTTCGCCGGATCTGTGTATAGAATTGAAGTCATCAGATATCAAAACCAACAAAAATGTTCGCTGACAATGAAGAAGCGATTACCCTAAGTGAAAGTGACCTAATTACAGAACGAACCAAACATACAGACTTAGTTTATCATAAATGTAAAGAACAAGTAAAGGAGAATCTCGTAATTTTTTGAGCATGTGCCCTCAGCACAGAAGTTAGCGGACATCTTTACAAAGGGTCTATCGGGACCGAAGATTAAACAATTTGCAGTCCAGCTTGGGCTTTCCAAGAAATAAAGATTTGTTCGTTTGTAGGTCACAATCTATTCCAGCTCCAGGGTAAGCGTCAAATATTGTATTCATTAATATCTTTTGTAGCAATTGTATTCATTATTTCTATGACTAACTTTGCTAGGTCAAAGATGGTGTTCATTAATTTCCTTTGTAACAATTATTTTTGCTGGGCAATAATTTGGAGTCAGAGGGCTGTCCTTCACTTGGTATTATTAAATTTTTAATTCTTTCCTATTGCAATATTGCTCATTGAATTTTCCTAATATCCCAACGATTGATATTATTAGGGGAAGTGTAGGTAGTATGGAAAAATATCAATGTTGGTAGTATGATGTCAGAGATGACGTCACTTCTTCTGTCCAATCAGAGGGGTTGCACCAGTTGGTGGCCTCTTGGAGCTTGGACTAAGCGTTCTCGCTTCGGTTTGTTCATCATGTATGCTTTTTGTTTCTTTTGTAGTTGTTTCTTCAAGAATAAAGTGTATTTCTTCCTGGCCATTGGCGTTCTATGGCTTTAACCAGGAATTAATTATTGTCGCAACTCTCCTATATTTCGCCCTCCTAAGACGCAACATGAGTGAGGGTTCAACAACCTAATAAGTATTGCGTCATGTTTCACGTCATTGAAAACGGAGGTAGCGGAGCTTGCCTGTTCGGGTCTCTGAGTCAAAGGCTCTTCGGCCGGGAGCATCACCACCCCTACGTGAAAACCACGTTGGTCGAGTATGTCGTCCAGAACTGGAACCACGAGATCCACTTAAATGTGCTTCCTGTACACGAATGCAACGGCCCGACTGAATATAAAAATAAAATGAGCAAGTTGGACGCGTACGGAAGCGAAATAGAAAACTCCGCATTCGTAGGCCTTCTTGATAGGCCAGTCAATTTACATAGAAACTTATCTAATGACAAAAATCTGATCCAGAGGTTCAACCATCAGGATGGTACAAATCCTAGTAAAAGAAAGTAGGTTCGCTCCTGTTAACAGGTGCTAATTCAGGACGAGATGATTCAGGATTTTATAGGCTTTTGGTGCCAACCGAGCCAGCGCCGATGATATTTTCGAGAGGGGTTCTCCCCCCAGAGAATTTAGTTGTAAGACAGAATTGGAATGCGAACAACTTCACACTTAGAAATCGTAACTCTAATGACAAAGGTTTGATCCAGAGGTTCAACCATCAGGATGGTAGAACTCCTAGTAAAAGAAAATAGGTTCGCTCCTGTTAACAGGTGCTAATTTAGGACGAGATGATTCAGGATTTTGTAGGCTTTTGGTGCCAACTGAGCCAGCGCCGATGATATTTTCGAGAGGGGTTCTCCCCCCAGAGAATTTAGTTGTAAGTCAGAATTGGAATGCGGACAACTTCACACTTAGAAATCATAACGGCTGCGCTAAGACACTTGCTTACTTGCAGACACCGTTTGCAAACAAGTCGAGGAACCCCCAATCAATACTCCCTGAAAGTTTGAAACCGGGACTACTATAGTTGCTAGGCGGTGGTAAGGAAGAAGCCGCCGAAACGACTGTTTATGGCGGTTCTCCCGAACAAGTCAAAGAGAGCCCAAAAAAGAAAAAAAAGAGCCAGAAAAAGAGCCGGGAAAGAAAGCCTCAACCCACAGGACGCAGCCCTGGAGGAGTTGGAAAAAATGGAGGAAGTGCAAGAGCAACGAGAAAACTAACAGTAAATCGGGAAATCAGAAACTCGACTGAGAAGCCGAACCCGGAGATCGAACGAAAGAGGGAACGTCGCGTCGTCGTCTAATGAGTGTGGTTGTATGGTTGAGAACGGTTACTGTAAAGGTAACAGTCTCTATTGAGGCGGGATTTCAGGGGGGAATTCCAAATATAAGTCGAAAATAAATTTCCAGGCAAAGAAATTGAATTCTTCTGGTCGGATTCGTCTGACTCCACAAAAAACTCGTACCACTTGGTAGTAGGAGGCTTTTCGATTACTACGATCGGAAGGAGTATCCTGCTGCTGCAAAACTTCACATGGATCTAGAGCGCCGGATCAACTTCAGCGGTAGTTAACAATCAATGCTAGGCATTTTGAAGGACATAGGCTTCAAATATCGGAGAGGAAATGATGGAAGGAAGCGACTGATGGAAAGGACATACATCGTGGCGTACAAAAACAAGTTTCTCCGTAAAATACCCAACTCCGTATGACACAGGACAGTCGACCGATCATTTGCCTGGACGAAACCTAGGTAAACAAGAACCACTCTCCAAATTACGTTTGGACGAGCGAGGATGGCAACGGAGGTGTAAATGTTCCCATTGAAAAGGGGAAGCGACATTATTTGCCATGCAGGAAGCTTAAAGCATGGATTCTTGCATCACACTCGGCTCGTTTATCGGTCAAACAAGTCCGGAGACTATCACGACGAGATGAACGGCGAGGTTCACAGCTAGTGGTTCGATGTAATGCTGCGTGGCCTGGAAGAGCCATGTATGATTTGTATGGATAATGCAAGTTATCACTTCATGTTAGCAGAGAAGGTCCCCACTCGGCTCTTTTCGGTCAAACAAGTCCGGAGACTATCACGACGAGATGAACGGCGAGGTTCACAGCTAGTGGATCGATGTAATGCTGCGTGGCCTGGAAGAGCTATGTATGATTTGTATGGATAATGCAAGTTATCACTTCATGTTAGCAGAGAAGGTCCCCCCCCCTCTCAGCTCGTTTTTCGGTCAAAGAAGTCCGCAGACTATCACGATGAGATGAATGGTGAAGTTTACAGCTAATGGTTCGATGTAATGCTGCGTGGCCTGGAAGAGCCATGTATAATTTGTATGGATAATGCAAGTTATCACTTCATGTTAGCAGAGAAGGTCCCCACAACGAGCTGGAAGAAGGGCGAAATAGTTAAGAGGAGGCTGCGCAGGCAGCGGGACCATGAGGTCCTCCAGTTCCGCCGCTGGCGAACGGAGCAAAGTGCCTTAAAGGACGAGCTGCTCCGCGAGCGGGCGGCCCTGGCTGAGGACATTGCACAGCTAAAAGCAGCAAGGGCCCAGCTGTTTGCGCCCCCCCCCCCCACAGCCTAGCTTGCCGCCCCCCGCTCTACCCCAAGTAGAATGCACCTGCGAGGTGTGCAGGGTCGCTGCGAAACACCGTGTGGGCATCCCGTATTGAAGCAATTCCAAATCCTAAATTTACCGCTAAATTTTACCGCTAAAAGTCACTTATTATTTTATTTTTTATTTTTATTTTACCTTCTCTACCTTTTAATACCGCTCTACTCGCTACTTTCGCTATTTCAATCAAATTTTTAAACTTATCGCCTCCTAGCGCAGGTTAAGAAAATTGACCACAATCCAATCCATACTACAGCTGAACTCCTGCTAATTGTTCTAACACCGGCCAGTGACGCTTTAGACCTGATAGCATTGGAATTCGGCCACGAAGCAGTTAGGCTTCCGCCTAATCGGAGCCAATAAACGCCGATCGAGCTTATTTGGGCGCTGGTGAAAGGCGAAGTTGCGGAAGAAAACAAGACCTTCAAAATGGACGACGTTGAAAAATTGACTGTTGCTCCTCTGAAAGAATGTAACGGTGGAGAACTGGCGTAAAGCTGTGAAACATGTTGAAAAAATTCAAGAGGAAGACTTCTCAAAAAGTGGTATACAAGACACGATGCCCAAATTGCGCTTTAACATTGGAAGCGACACCTCTTCTAATGGAGATTCTGATTAATAACCCGTTTAAAAAAATCAAATGATACAAAGCCTTTACACTTGAAGATTTCACTGTATAATCAATGTTTTGCACAGTACCTACTTCCTGACACGTAGCAGGGAAGCGATATGAGGTACATATTTTTCCTCCTTCCTGTTACTTAGACTTTTAAACACGCCGTTTTACAGGAACCGCCAGTCCCAAGCCTGGATGATTGGGGGGAGACCCATGTTAAATCGCCGGACTGTCTCAGCGGCAAAGAAAAGTTGGACGCGATGA